AATTTAGCCAATCTAGTGACTCTAGGTATGGCTTATAATACTATGCTTTCGCCATCGATAATTCCGATAGAGTTTGGGAATTTGAAAAAGCTGGAGTACTTGTGGATGACGATGACGAACTTGATCGGGAAAATACCGGAAAATTTTGCGAATTTGTCCAGTCTTCAACACTTGGATCTCGCTAGAAACAATCTGGATGGTCCACTTCCTCAAGGACTGTTCAAATTGAAAAACTTGAGCGAAGTGTATTTGTTTAAAAACAGTTTGTCCGGTGAAATTCCAACTCCAATCGAGTCAAACTTGACCGGATTGGACATGTCGATGAACAATTTGACAGGTTCGATACCATCTGATTTCGGCAAATTGAATCAATTGAAAGTCATGATTCTGTATTCGAATCAACTTTCCGGTGAATTACCACCCAGCATCGGCCAAATCACAGCCCTAGAGATCTTCCGGGTGTTCGAAAACAAACTCAATGGCACTTTGCCGCCGGAATTCGGTCTTCATTCGAAACTCCAATATTTCGAGATTTCCGACAACCAGTTCACCGGAGATTTGCCTCAAAATTTATGCGCCGGGAAGACTTTATTTGGCATGGCGGCTTCCTCAAATTCTCTCACCGGGACCATGCCTGAATCGCTTGGAAATTGTCAAGCTTTGCGTAGTGTTCAGCTATTCAACAACAAATTTTCCGGTGAGGTTCCATTAGGCCTCTGGACATCGCGCAATTTATGGAGTTTAATGCTGAGCAACAATTCTTTGTCTGGTACGCTTCCTAGTCAATTAGCTTGGAATTTGTCCCGGTTTGAGATTAGTAACAACCAGTTTTCCGGTCAGATTCCTACAGGAATCGGTTCTTGGGCGAGTCTGGTTGAGTTCAAGGCTAGTAACAATCAATTTACTGGTCCAATTCCGGTGGAGTAATACAATTATTACATTTTAACCGCTCTTTCTCAGCTAAGCAACCTTGTTCTTGATGGAAATTCACTTTCCGGTGAATTGCCATCGACAATAATGTCGTGGAAGTCGCTGACTAGTTTGAATCTTGCTCGGAACAAGCTTTCGGGTCAAATTCCGGCGTTTTTTGGTTCTCTGCCTGACCTTCTCAATCTAGATTTGTCGGAAAATCAATTTTCCGGTCAAATTCCGCCTGAATTAGGCCATTTGAAGCTAACCAATTTAAACCTTTCTTCCAACCAATTTTCCGGGAAAATCCCAGATGAGTTTGATAACTTGGCCTATGAAACCAGTTTCTTAAACAATCCAAAACTTTGTGCTAAAACGCCGATTTCAAATCTCCCCAATTGTCTCACCAAAAACAGCGAATCCAACAGCTTATCCCCCGCAACTCTTGCAGTGATTCTTGTTTTCGCTGTAATTCTATTCATAGCTACTGTTGTATTAACCGTCTTCGTGACCAGAGACTACCCGAGGAAAAAGATCAAGCGAGACCTTGCGGTGTGGAAACTGACCTCATTCCAGAGGTTTGATTTTACAAAGAAAATAATTTTGTCGGGTTTGACTGAAAACAATTTGATCGGAAGTGGTGGGTCCGGGAAGATATATCGCATCGCTGTCAACAATTTAGGCGACTGTGTCGCTGTCAAGAAGATTTGGAGCAATGGGAAGTCAGATCACGAGCTCGAGAAAGAGTTTCTGGCAGAAGTGGAGATATTGGGCACAATTAGGCATTCCAATATAGTGAAATTGCTGTGTTGTATTTCAAGTGATGACTCAAAATTGCTTGTGTATGAGTATATGGAGAAGCAGAGTTTGGACAAGTGGTTACACGGGAAGAAGAGGACTAGCTCCGCCACCGTGTTGAGTAGTTTGGTCCACCACGCGGTGTTGAATTGGCCGACAAGGCTGCAGGTTGCGGTTGGGGCTGCTCAAGGACTATGTTATATGCACCATGATTGCTCTCCGCCGATCATTCACCGTGACGTGAAGTCTAGCAATATTTTGCTGGATTCTGAGTTCAAGGCAAAGATTGCTGATTTTGGACTTGCCAAGATTTTGGCCAAGTCTGATGTGCCTAATACTATGTCTGCTGTTGCTGGTTCAATTGGGTACTTTGCTCCAGGTAAGACACTTGAGGCATTAACTCTTATTAGTCTGCTTGTTTCACCAAAAAAACATTTTCTACTTCATGACTATTGGCATAATAGTAAACAAAAGCTAACTAGAAACTAAATTGATTTTGGTGAAAAATACTTTTCACTTTTTGAAAGGATTTTTTTTTTTTTTTTTTTTTTTTTTTTTTTTTTTTGAAAAAAAAAAAAAATTTGCTTTAAACCTACTAGACAAGTAAAAGTCTTACCAAAATTATCATTATTATTGTTGCCACCGCTACCACTATCAGATCCACCACCGTCATCATTTTTTAGGATTGTGATAGAAATATAAAAAAAAATTCCAAAAAACCTTTTTTACTAAAAATATTTCACACCATCATTTTTAGGGTCCCAATCAAATATAGGTAAATATTTTAACCAAAATATATTTTCTAAAATGTCTTTTTCGTGAAAAAAAACTTTTCTTGGGAAAATTTTTCAACTGAAACCAAAAGACACTACCCCTTTTTCTCCTTTTCCCACTTGAACTGAAAATGTTGATTTGGTTACAGAATACGTTTACACGAGAAAAGTGAATGAGAAGATCGATATTTACAGTTTCGGAGTTGTACTCTTGGAACTGGTGACGGGAAGAGAACCCAACGACGGAGATGAGCACACGGGCCTCGCAGAATGGGCGTGGCGCCAATACGGAGAAGGAAACTCAATTGCCCACACCTTTGATAAGGACATCAAGGAACCACATTATTTGGAAGAAATGACCACTGTCTATAAACTAGGGCTCGCATGCACAATGACACAACCTTCTAGTAGGCCTTCCATGAAGGAGGTTTCGCAGATTCTACGCCGTTGTGGTCCTATAGAGGGCAGCGAAGGAAAGAAGGTGGTGTGTGAGTATGATGTTGCCCCACTCCTTGACAGCGCCACATACCTTTCTAGCTACAGGCATTCGGATGAAGATGATGACAGTGTAGCATGCATTGTGTGATGTTGGAATTGGTTGCAGAGTAGTTAATAAGTACTCTCACCAATATCATCTGTATCAAAACCAGAATTCGACTCTGAAGAGGGACGACTCACTTTTCAAAAATCACTAGACAAATGAAATCCATATCATCATAATAGAGGGATTAGATGAAGATGAGGATAGTTTTAGTTAAATTTGCAGCTTTTGAGGTTGAAATTAGTCATAGGTATTAGATGATCTAGTGCAGCTTTTTTTTTTCTTTTTTTCTTTTTTTTTTTTTTTGCAACATCAAGCATGCAAAGGACGTAAAATTTCTCGCAAGTAATAGTAGCAAATGTAAATTTTGGAATAAGATGATTTTCTCTTCTGATTAAGAATAAAACAATCTACCTTGTCCCAACTGCAATAACAATTCGGAAAATTCAATTTCTTTTCAAAATTTTACACTGAGGCCGATTAAAATTATTATACTACTTTAATATTTTTTATATTTTAATTTTTTAAGCATTAAAAAAATAAGTGAGTAGGTTAAGAAGAAAGACATTTATAAAATAGCTCTACCCTTTCTCTTCATTTATTAGTTATGCAGATTTCTATCAATTTTGTTGAGATCATAAATTTAAATAGAAATTTAAAAATGGAAAGAGGAACAAAAAAATAATAATTTATATTTTATTCATATTATTGTCTTTACATTTTTTCTTTTCATTTCTCAATCCCTAATCATGATCCAAATACAGTTTTAAAAGTCTCCTTTAAATCACTCACTCACACTGAAGCGATAAAACTGAAACATAAAAAAACCAAAAAATTCAGTTTGACGGTAAATTTGCTCTCAACCCAGACTTGAATCAAACTGATTACATCCTTATTCACCGCACTAAACATTCATAATTGCAAACATCTAGGCACTATTTTTGCCCTTTCTCCATCATATGTAAAGCAAACTACTGTCTCCTCCTGCACTCTGTTTTGTAAAAGCAATCCAAAGAAAATAGAAATGGCTAAAACCACCCTCGTTGCATCAAAACACCATCAAGACACGTTTTTTCCTCCATATAGAAAAATTAACAATGTTGGTGGAGAGAGAGAGAGAGAGAGATGCCATACTAGAAATTGTATTGCAAAAGCACAAGTACACATAACACAAAGGTTTAATGAAAGTCACAGGGCCTAGCAGAGACATGAAGGTCACAAAACTAACCCTTATTAAACAAGCTGTTCCATATCGTCTAAACAGAAAGGCATAAGATTTTCAACACCAAACAAAGAAAGTAGCAAAGCTGATCAAATAACAGGCTGCCAAGTTTGGTAAAGCCCCAAGTTCTGTTCCAAAAGTAACTTCCACTGCTCAAAGCATTTTTTTTTCTTTTTTCTTTTCTTTTTTCTCCTTTTGATTTATAGTGATACAAATACAGCTTCAACAGCACAGAAGACAGAAAACGGGAGGCACACACTAACCGGCCACATTAAGCAGTCATTCCCAAGTTGCAGCAGGGGGGTATTCCTTTCCTCCCCTCTTCTCCTTGCATACCAATGATTTATAGAACGACTCGGCTCCCAAATTTTATGCTGTTGATTTCAGACTCAACTTGCTAGGAAAAAATGACACAGAAACAACCAAACAGGACAGTATAAAGATAACCTGAATTCACGTCACAAAATTTACGATTTCAAAAAACATGCCTCATCACTGGCTTCTGCACTGATTCAGAACTAGCCCGATTCTTGGATTCTGCCGCCATTTCAAGTACAATAGTCGGCTACAATACAAATCAAGTGGGAAGTAAGAAGAGAGAGTTTGGTACCCAACAAAACAGTAACAATGGATGGGAAGAAATAGAGAAGAGAGGATAATTTATCCAAGCATCGGACAAAGAACATGAATTAGGTTCTTAAGCACAGCAAAGTGTATTCAAGGCATGATTTATCAAAATTAAAATAGAATAATTTATTTTATTGAAAAAAAATTCTATCTAATGATACATTCAAAAGTAGACAAGTGTATTCAATAGAACTGCCAGAAATCATTTCAGAGCAGGGATTGGAAAAGGGAAAATGAAGATAATAAGTGAGAAGGGAAGGCCTCAAAATGAGAGAAAATAGCAGACAATATAATTAACAACCATGCAACAAGAAAGAGAGGTCTTCCGCACTCACTTCTGGTACAATCAATCGCGATATACTTGCATAAACGAGATCAATTGATATTCCCTGATACTTGAACTTCATTACTGGGACATAAGCATCTGGAATTGGTTGAAGCTCAGTAATTTCTTCCATTTCAGCCAGCATATCATGCAATATAATAAAGAAATCTTCCTGCAGACAAACATCATATCAACCTTTAAATATAAAGCTTCTGGATTTGCAAAACCTAACAAGAAAGAATGACCCAAACTATAACCAACCTCTCTATTTACGTAAGATGGTCCGGCACACAAGGTATCCATGTCAGCCCCAGGCCCATGAACCTGTCAACATAAAACATTTTTGCCACATCCCCTTGTAATCTAAAAACACTCACTAACCAAGGATGACATTCAAAAAAGGATAAAAAAATTAACAAAATATTTCTTACAAACAACAGTAGTCAGAAATTCGTGTACAGTTTTTTGCTCATTGAATTGCTGCAGGGATTATGTAGAGACTTCTGAGTGAACGGATATATATGGGAGTTTTAGATGTTTTGTTTTACTTTTCTTGTAGTGTATGTGGGTGCCCCCTTGCTCATTGAATTGCTGCAGACAAGTCTGTCAAGCCCAATCAAACTCTTGAACATGGATAATATGACTTACTGTTCTCTAAGACAACCTGGAATTCCAAATGTCAATGCCACATCCAGCACATAAGCTCCTATTCAACGTATCATACAGATCTTTGACAAGACTTTGTTAAAGAGTTTCAATTTGACTTGGTTTAGGTATAATATATTTTTATATATTATATTTAAGGAGACCCAATCTAATTTGGTAACAATTAGGTTTGACTACAAAACCCTAGATTCACAATATATTTTTTGGGTGTATTATTTTTCCCAAGTGACACACTACGGCAGCTACATAGATTCAGGAGCCGAACATTGATTCTTGAGGCATAAGTTCAATTAATGGTTCATTGTTGCTGTGTGTCGTTGGTAGAAGAAAAGCAAAACGGCGGCTGCAAACATTTTGTTTCCGAAGCACGGCTTTGTGTGGAAGTTGATTTGGGTTCGTTATTTTGGGTCTTCTTCAACTCTGGTTCAGAAGATTTGGTTCATCTATTTGGTGAGGTCTTTCCTCTTGTTTATTTGTGATTATTTGGAATTCACCTAAGGGTGGTTTTGTGAAACCATTAGTGTCTCGTTTGTAATCGTTTGAAACTTATTTGGTTGATAGTGGAATCGGATTTCGATCCCGTGGACGTACCTCACATTGAGGGAACCACGTAAAAATTCTTGTGTTGCCTTTAATTTAATTTTTTCGCATTAATTTTTATTCCCATTGATTGATTTACTTGTGGGGAATCACGGATTTTCCCTAACACCCACCACATCTTTCTTCTTCCTTTTTCCAAATTTCTTATTTTGTGAAATAATAATGCTATAGTCATCAAAATTGACTACAAAATTTTGGATACTATCAAATAAATTAACAATAGACATTCATTTAATTCCCAACAAGAGAATGGAACTCATCTAATTCCCAATAAGATGATGTGACTTAAATAGGATAGTGAACTCACATTTTATATCAATAATTCCCATCTCTCTTCTAATTTGTTTTTGCATTTTCCAACAAGAGAATGGAGCTCTTGCTTTATTTCACTTTCCAATTGGTCAAATAAATTATATGAAATTATTTTTTCTGTGTGCAATTTTACCATAATGTAGACAATGTCAAGTCAAAAATCCATTATGCCTCATCACGAGTAGATTTGAAATAAATAAAATTCAGATTAAGATATTAGGAAAATTTAAAGAGAAATGAACCATCTTCTTCTTAATCTAATCATGCCTTTATAAAATTAGTATTCGGGGAGTGCTAACAAAAGAATTAAGGGGAGATTAATTTGCCAAAATGCCCTCACCATTCTTAAACTTTCTACTCTCTTTCTTTTACTTGTTCCTCACTTTAACACTGCCCTTTCAGGTAATTTCAGAGTCTCCGGCAGCCACCGACCAGACTATCCTACTCAACCTTAAACAGCACTGGGGCAATCCTCCATGGACAATGTCGTGGACCTCCACGTCCTCACTGTGTGACTAGCCGGATATTCACTGCATCGCCCACAACAAATTCTCCGGCGATATCCCGCCGGCCATATGCTGGTTGCTGGAGCAACAATACTTGTAACTCTGCGGAAACCAGTTCACCGGTACGTTTCCAGTGGAAATCGGTAACCTGTCAAATCTGTTGAGTCTAGATTGTAAGGAATTTTTTTGTAGGTGGCCTACATAGATCAAATAATTATACATTGTATTTTGTTAAATGAAGTACGAGTGGTGTCGGTTAGACTCATTAAATTATGATCCATACAGAAACATGATCGGATCATGGACACATCTCTAATAGCACAAATTTTTGGTCATGCTATGTGCACTAAAGGAGTATGGGCTAAACCATATGTATAGAGACCAGTTTAGGCCCACTTATAATTTCATTATTTATGATGGGCTAAAATGGGTGCTTTATAAATATGTGGTTAAGTCCCCACTCCAACCCTAGCTTCCATCTCATATTTTCCCATCAGTGTGTGAGAGCAAATAAGAGTAGGATTTTGGAACGAAAGACAATAATCATTAAGAAGTCTACCGCTTAGATCAACTATTATTAATGGTGTCAAGTACGCAACCATTATCAATGGCGTCAGGGACGCAATTATTATTGTTTTCTTCTATTGATTTGACTTGAAATTTTGGAGTTTAGATTTCTTTCGAAATTTCAAAAAAGGTATCAAATCTTCTTGTCAGATCATTGAGGAAAATATAAAGTTTTTCACTCTGATTAATTTTGTTAATGTTCGACCATGATACACAACTATGATTGCAGTATTTATTTATTTTGTGAGGATTGTTGGCGTCAATTGTATATCTTCTTTTTTTGCTTCCGCACTAATTAACGTCAATGAATAGTGGCTCATGTCTTTGACGTCAATGAATTATGGCTCATGTCTGATCTGTATGTTTAGCGCATACATATGGCTTATGGTTTATGATTTTTCTATATTTTACATGATTGTGCACATATGTCAGATTCTTTTGGTTAAAGAATATTTTTATTACTTTTAAAGATATACTTTATACATATTTAGGTTTAGAGTATGCACATATTGAATCTAATAATCATATGTTTTTCGGACCATGTATGCGGATTGATTTGTTTTTCAGTATCACCAGTACTATTTTGTTGTTTTTGTTCCATGGCCATAGCATGGTGTTCATAAAGTTTTAATTAAGTTGGATTATTTTTGAGACGTAAAGTTTTTTTTAGCAATTCATACCTAGAAGTGGCATTTCGCCTAAGTGGCCTCTATCATGTAAATTTTCTTGAATTTGAAGTAAAAGTATTGAATTGCATATGGTTACGTCTAGATCTATGCGAGCATTGATCGGCCCAAAGGAAGGTTATTATTTTGGCCGGGTATAGACGGTATAAGATAAATAATATGAGTGATATAATTATGGGATTAATCTATGCATTCAATAGTCGGCCCAAAGGAAGATTTATTGTTTGGCGACCTATTTTTACATTATTCATATTAATTAGCTTTATTGGGAGAAGACCACTTACATGTTAAAATACTTATCCAAAGACTTGATTGTAATGATGCGTTAGGTTTCTCATGAGGGCTCATTATTACAAATTTATTTTTTATTATTAAAGTTAATGCCCTATAGTCTAATTAATTGCCCCTACAATTAGACTAATTTTTTTGCATAATAATAATAGTTATGGTTGTATTTTTATGAATGTATTAAGGTAGATGGGACATTTATTAATTGTAAGATTTTTTCTGTCTTATATATAGTAGTTTTGGCCTGTTGGCATTCTAGGAAGGGGCTTATACCATGATTGAGGCATTAGTACTGGTCTTTCAGGTGTTTGATTACTGGTTTGACCATTGTTTTGACCATTATTTTGTATAGGTTGTCTATTTCAAGCCAATTGCTGTTGAAGCAGATTTATGTTTTCTTCAACTTCTCTAATGATGAGTGGTTGACATGTATGCATTCGATCCAAAAATGACACTGCACACTTCTCCATTGTATACATTAACTGTTGTCCCATAATATCCACTAAGCCTCCCCATTGATTAACTGGTTGTGTGGATGAGACAGTCAAAGGGCCAGCTTCTTGGCCTTGCCCAATATTCTGGACTTGGGTTGTATATCCTGAAGTAATGGTTTCTTCAACCAACCGTGGAGGATTGGCTGAAGTAGGCACATTTTCAGGATGTGGCTCAACATTTTCCTCTATATTAGCTCCTTCTACACCTTCTTCGAGGTGGTCATTTTCTCCTCTTGTTCGACGTCTAGCCATTTTAAAAGTCCTACTGGCCGTGCCAAAAATATATGTTGGCTATTTGGCTTTCGAAGGTTAATAATGCAATTTTAAGCATGCCAGCAAGGATCAATAAGTCCTTACAGAAATTTTAATTGCCAACCAATTATCAGATGACTGTGTTGAAGTTTTTCCAGCCTCAATGAAGAAGACTTTTACTGGTGACTTTACTTAGGAGAAAATTAAAGCTATTGACAATAACAATGGATAAAAATAGTTTCACGAATTGAAAATAGTTTCACGAACTGAATTTCATTAAATAATAAGAACTTACAATGATACTCTCGCACTTCCACAGTCTCAAAGGGTTTTATAGCAATAGACTATTTGGAACTACTCTTAAGAATTGAAGTGCAATACAAGAATTGAAGAACTGGAAATGTAGAAATTGGAAAGAAAAATATAAAGTAAATAACTGGTTTCTGCATCTGAGTCTAGGTCTTTTTCTGTTAGCCTTCTCTTCTATTTATACCCTCTAATGGTAACCGTCGAAATAGTCTTCTAACCGTCGAAATGTCCTTACACGATCACTAGTCATGGCCTTGAACAATTTGCTTCCACTACGCCATTCTTGCAGTTGGACTTCCCTCTTGAATTTGAATTTGAATTGTGAGTAACCGTTGGGCCACGTCACCTTACGCCTTCTAACTGCTCTAATGCTGCACATTGTTACCAATATAAACTGCCGCATGTCTGTCGTTAACTAGAGACTTGCATTAACTCCCCAAATTACCCTTTACGAGCTACGTGTTAAGCTGCTATTGGCTTATACAAAATATATAGCCAACAAAAGTGAATGCATCTTCTATGTCTGTGATTTTGAATAATATTCCAGCTCTTAATTATTGAAATTTTACAAAATTGAAAAGAACATGTTGCTATTGTTTTTTGGTGTATGTATTTGAATTATGTGTTTCGTGTTGATGA